GGTATAGTCCTTTCACAAGATTATCTGTTAACTTTTTTGTTCATGATTTTAGTTAGTGTCACAGCTCCATATATTTCACCATTGTTTAATTTACTCACTATGTAGGCGCCTAACGCTGAAGTGGTTTGACTTCGTGTCTGTTTGTATTTTATCTATGGATAATTAAAATAGAGTTATTGAAAGAAATTTCTGAGGCCAATGTAGTCTGTCTGTCTGTCTGTCTGGATTCAACATAGAACTTGGCACCGAAGTGCAGCAGTTCGAGTTGCCACGTTCCAAATAGCACACAGAGGTAGACAAGAAGATGAGTGAAGAGAATCAATAGAGTTTGACAAGTATAAGAGTGAAACAGAATGGGTAATGGTAGAAAGGAATATGAAAGATTACAGAGATTGAATACATCTGCGCCATTGACAACGATTTTGAGCCATGTCACCTATTGTCTCCAGCCATTGATTCCTAGAGTCCCGAGGGCCCCAACCCGGGAGTCTGCATCTCCCTACCTGACTCAGTTTAACTGTCAAGGATTTCATGGATTGATGCCATGTTTTTGTTTGGCCACCACTGGCTCTTTTCCAACCTGAACCTATATCAGCTAACAATGCCCGTCGGGGGAGGCGGTGGTTAGGCATGCGCAGCACGTGACCTAGCCATCTTAGTCTATGTAACTTTATAACCTCGTCGATTGATTTTCCCTCTTTGCCCAACACTCTACGCCTAACGTCAACATTACTTATCTTGTGAAACCACCTAACGTGAGACAGAGATCGCAGACATCTATGATCGAAAGCAGTCAACCTTTTCATGTCTTCAACGCGTATTGGCCATGTTTCAGAGCCATAGAGAAGGACGGAGCGAACTGATGAGCAGTACACACGTCCCTTGGTTGATAACCGGATGTCACGCCTACGCCAGAGATGGTGTAAGTCAGCGAAAGCAGCTCGAGCTTTTCGGATCCGTGCTGAGATTTCATCGCCAATCAGTCCGTTGGTGCTAATACAACTTCCCAAGTAGGTGAAGTGGTCAACATGTTCTATCACTTCACTCCCTATCACTAAGTTAGGGGTTGACGTCGTCCAGTCCTGTAGCAGCATCTTACATTTTGCAGGGGCGAATCGCATGCCAAACATACGAAGATTGCTGCTCAAGGTGTTCAGAAGACTCTGCATTTTGTCAGCATCCTCCCCTAACAGGACTATGTCATCTGCATATTCTAAGTCCATTAGATTATTCCCTGGTAACAAGTCGATTCCTAAGTCACTACGTTCAGTTAAGGATACTTCCATTAGCATATCTATGATGAAGTTAAACAGAAATGGGGAAAGTGGACATCCCTGTCGGACACCACTGGTTGTTACCAATTCAGATGACAATTCCCCATAAGCCCTTACACGACTACGTGAGTTTGAATAGAGTGCCTTGATTAGTGCAATGTACTTTCTTGGCACTCCCTTCACAGTCAGACATTGCCATAGTACTTTTCGGTCCACGGAGTCGAAGGCCGCCTTCAAGTCAAGAAATATGACAATTGTTGGACGCCGAAAAGTGTGTCTATGTTCTAGAATCTGTCGAAGAGTGAAGATATGATCTATGCACCCTCTACCTGGTCTAAAGCCTGCTTGATTTTCCCTTGTCTGTTCCTCCCGAGTTCTGCTTAGTCTATGCATGATTACTGAGCCTAGGATTTTAGAGACTATGTTCGTTAGGCTGATCCCCCTATGATTATCACACGAGGACTTGTTTCCCTTCTTGAATATCGGTATAATGAGTGACTTACCCCAGTCTGATGGTACTGTCTCTGATTCCCAGACTTTGCCTAGTACCTCAGTTAATCTACAAACTAGTATGTCACCCCCATATTTAAACACCTCCGGAATAATTCCGTCGGGTCCTGCCGCTTTGCCTCGTTTCAAATTACTGATAGCTTTTGTAACCTCACCTACAGACGGCGGACCAGTGTCTATATCCCATTCGGGTACGTGGTGGATGGCGGGGAGGTTCAGTGTGGCTGTAGGCAAGTTAAATTGTTCCTCAAAGTGTTCTTTCCAGCGTTCAAGGCGTCTATCCTGAGAGCTAATTAAGGAGCCATTTTTCTCAGAAATAGTCTCACTTATGAATTGCCTTTTCCCGCCCGATTCTGTGATGAGTCTAAAGAGTTGCCTAGTGTTGCCTATCGCCAATGCTTTTTCCATCTCTTTCGCCTTTGTCACCCACCACTGTTCACGGTCCTTGCGGAGACTTTTAGTAAGTTTCCTTTTGTGCAGCTTTCGCTCCTCATTGAATTCGGAGCTCGCCGGAATAAGTCTTCTAGCATCTATCAGTTCGGATGAGGCAGTCGAAATCCAGTGGTTTTTACTCACCTTTGGATTTGTCTTATTCACAGCTTTTACAGCTGTATCTATAGCTGACTGAATATTCTTCCAGGCTTCTCCAGGGTGAGCACAGCTGTCGAATTCAGATATGCGTTTAGCTAGTTCTTCCTCAAATAGGGATTTAGTTTCCTGATCGAGCTGGGGGCGTAATGGTTTTACCGCCAGCTGTTTCCTACGTCCGTTCAGTCGTAAGCACACACGAGCCCGGACCAGTGCGTGATCGGTATCTACACACGTGTTCCAGAAGGAGCGACAATCTCCTACCGACCCACGCCAACGATAGCTTATTGCTATGTGGTCTATTTGTGTCCAGCGTTGGTTTGATGATGGGGGTCGCCAGGTTAAACAGTGTCTCTCCTTGTGTTTAAAGTTAGTGCTTACAAGAAACAAATGATTATCTGAACAGAACTGTAGGAGACGGTCACCGTTGTCGGTTCGCTGGCACGGAACTCCATAGGTGCCACCGACATCCTTCTCAGATTGACACAATTTCCCTACTTGAGCGTTGAAGTCACCAGCTAGAACGACTATATCTGAGCGTTTAGCCTTTCTCACCAAACTAGACAGCTTTTGGTAGAACTCATCCTTCGTTTCATCCGAACTGCAGTCAGTGGGGGCGTAGGCGGAGATTACGAAAAGGCATCGGCGAGTAGTGCAGTCCTTTCTCCTTCTTACTGATCCGTTCAGACGGACAGCACACATTCGGCTATCTACTGGGATCCAGTCAAGCAATGTCTTTTCTGCCCTAGTACTCAGAGCTATCCCTACGCCAGCTAATCCCCGTGAACTAGCTGTGGCATCTCCTGACACCCTCAAGGTGAATTTTGAAGATTCATCCTGTTGGCCAGGTGGTAGTACTACCCTGAAGAGCCACTGGGCATAACTACGAAGATGTGTATAGACTAACTTCACACAATTGTGAAACAGTTGTCCTCCTACAAGCAGAAAGCATGAAATATGAAGTATGGAGTGTTGGATAAATTTATGAAAGTGACACCATTCTTAAGAGACAAATGAATTTGTATGCAACAATGAAATGCTATGTTAGCAAGATATCGCCTTAGCCATTTCCAACTCGAGTCTAAAAGAAATAAGATAAGAAATGCATAAAACGATCTACGGACATACTGGATTCAGATTACCAGCGTCAACAGGGCAGGTGAACGCATGCTACATAGTACAACTCCACGTGACCACACATTAAATTCTACATGAAGTAGCCTTGAAGAAATCACCGATGAATCTACGCCTTGAATATGCCACTGATTAACATCTTCCTATTTCCCAAAATAATAGTGTAACAACTCTTTGAGAATGACTCTTCTCTTTTCTTACATTTAATACTGGGGATCCTGCACCATGCATTCAACGGGAAGTAAATACTTCAACAGACCAGTTTTAAAAGATTGGTGGCGTAAACAGTCTATGCTGAAAATAGCACGATATCAGACTACACATCAAGTTGCTAGTCTTTTGACACACAATTAACTATGATATATAAATCCAATGTAGCAAAAACTTACGTGCCGAAAGAAGCTGGCTGATACTTCTTGTTTGACATCTACCGTATCCGTAGGATCCACATTCAGGCGTCTTTCCAAGTCTAGAATTTGTTTCGTGAGAGCTTGACACTCGCCATCCAACTGAACCAACTCTTGAGCTAAACAGTTTCGGAGTCGAGCGACACGATCCAGAAAATCAGTTGACAATGACAGATTCTCCATGGCATTTGGAGCCATAATCGCAACCATTATTTCATCCTCCTTTGATACCTCCCACTGAAGGACAGTTTTCAAGTTGGTTATTTCTTGAATGAGTTTAGAGAGACGAAGACAACGGGAGCGCTAAAAGAATTACAACGCATAAGGAATGATTACTTTCTCTAATGTAAGGTGATCAATGTTTGCTTTCAGAATCTCAAGATGCTCGGAATTCGGGACGTGAATAAATGTCACTGGGACTTCAGGTTCACCGAGACGTGCACACAACGCCCTCTCATCCTCTTTAAGGGAATTGTACCTTTGTAGGATTGCAGTCGACTTTTCGGAAAGTGATTTGAAGTGATCATAGAGAAGTTTCTCTGTCATCACCAGAGAAGAACAGTCAGGAAAACAGCTGGTCAACCCCATCTCTGACTCTATTTCTTTGATTCTAATCTTCAGACAGAGGTTTACACAAAACAAAACCAACAAACTTTCAACTTTTTGATGGATTCCACAATCGACTGTTTGGCTAAAATTTCTTCGTTGTACATTTCCTCCAGCATAGATAACAGGTAGGAAGTCAGAGCATCAACTCTCAGATTTAAATTTTCGCCTTCTATGCCCATTTCCTTCCAGATATCAGATATTGAAGTAATTTTCAGCGTAATTTGGTCTAAAATCTTCGCAACCCACGGATAACTTGACATTGTATTGCCGCCGAAATCAACAAAGTACGTATACGGCTCACAGAAAGCACACAACTTTGTACGGAGTCCAATGGTCTGCACTAGACATAACGGTCACTAATAATATCAATTTTAAGCATCTTGATTTGTCAGTAAAACCGCTTTTCACTATCTAGGCGTAACAGACGCCCCGGCACATCTATGACTGCGGAGTGAAGACGTGTTAAAATCATGAACGAATGTTATATCCATTATCGTTTTCACGAGTAAGCGAAATTCATGTTGATTTCTTTGAGCTCACTCAACTTACGAAATTTGAAACCGATGTAAATATATGGTACACATATATATATACGAGTATGTACTCACATATGAATAATAATGGACGTGTGACGGACGTAATAGTCGGAGTAGTCAGTGGAGTAAGACGATGGGGAGTGTGGAGAATCAGAAGACGAGATTAAGTGTACACTGAGTGAAAGCCTGTGAGGTTTGATGGAGGTAGGCCGTTTGGACACAGTCCCCTCCTCTCTTTAAGATTATCCATACTTCGCTCAACCTGTCCACGGACTTTGTAGTAACCACATCTGTCGGTGCATAGTTCATAGATGGCGAACTCTCAGCGGAAGGAAATGTGAGCTCGCTCTGTCCTCTGGTTAACTGTACCTCGTGAATTCCCACGAGGAATTCCATACGTACCTAATGGCACAATATCTTTGTTCGGGTAATTCTGGTCATTTGTAATCTTATACGCGTTAATTAAGTCCCCTTTAGTCCAACGGTAGACAAGTGTGGAAATACCTAATTTCTTCAGCCGCTCATCGCATGGTTTGTTTCGAAAACCCATCGCATCTTCTGTTTTCTGTCCTTGAAATATTCGCAAAATATTTGGAACTATTGTGAGCAGTGAAGGATTTATGTTATTGTGCAATTCACGATGAAATCTTACATATGCTCTGTACATCCTTAGAAATAGCTCAGTAGTGAGTGTGCCTGTCCATGTGTAAAGTGTAATTCACTCCTGTATCTTTTTTCAGACGTAGACCTATGCCACACTCCAGCAATGTGCAGGACAAGTTTTCGTTGCACGGGGCGTAACTTGCATTCTGCACTTAACATGTACATGGTTGCACTACTTCTCAGCTTTTCAATTAGAAACTCATACCACTGACCGCCGCCCTGCCTTCCAGATACAACTGGATGGGCTAGAATCAATCCCTGAATTAGACTGAGTGTCTAAGACAGAAGAATCAGACAGAGATGAAAATTCTCAGTGTCTATGAAAGACAACAGAAACATGTGATTCAGTATCAATGTGATAAGTAATATGTTTGGTATGAATCACGTTCATGTACATTCGGAAGTTTAGGATAACAAACACATTTTGGTACTCCCAGGCATTGCACATTCACTACATGGTATTTGAAAGTTCATGTTGGAGTCCACCTTTAAGCCATAGTTAACATAAGTGGAGTGAAGTTTGTTCGGTAGACAATTGTGCCAGCGATCTGTGTATCCAACATGAAGGACTATTTTGCATGTATGACGCCCATTTGCATTTTAGGCTCTAAATGCGGTTTCCCTGCAGTGGCAAACATTAGTCTATTCATGAAGTTTATCCAGTATTTGTAGGACCACCACTTGAAGATTACTTCGGAGCTAGCTACAGGAATATTGAAGCGCCTTCAGACAAATGTCGCTCATCGAATTCCATATAATTCTTTCTCCACTCTGTGTGGAAATACACCACCTCTGGAAATACTCGAGACAGCATTAGCTCTAAAATATTTATCGTCTACTTTCAGAGAACAAACTGTCAGTCAAAATGTACACTGTATTCGTTTTTACTCCTATGAATCCAGACTCGCACCGGTTTATTCGGTATCCACCACATGACCCCAGTGTGTGTTGGTTGCAAGGAACATAAGCCAGGTAGAAAAGTGTGGAAATTCCAATAAGACTGAAGCTTGGGGATCTACTAGGGACCTTAATGTCTTGGTTCGTGAATCTAGCTGTATCGAAACTAAGTGTCAGTGAAGTATAAGTTATGTGAAAAGAGCGTCACTTTAGCTGTAAGGCTCAGTGACGTTCATATTCGCCTTTGGGGCGAGGAGACGATGAACTACAGGAGCTGCAGTATATGAACTCACCCTCCCATAAGGCATATTTTGCGTGAGTGACAATAATATGCGCGACTTCGTCGTGTAATTATTTTAGATCAGCGAGCCCTCAGTCGGACTTCATCTCCTAGGCTTGTGGACACCCGATCAAACTTTGGTCTATTTCCATAGGTCTTTTTGTCCGTTTTCGTTCTTTTATCTTAACCGTTTTAACGTTAACCATCTTCGTGATGTCTGACCAGACACCTAAGCTTATGCGTACTCCACCAACTGGCATTCCACTTAGCTTGTGTCTTTTGGCCAGACAGTGCAGAAACATTCTCTTTATTGTGCCTCTGTTTTCCATGATCATGAATGGCGGATCCGTGGTCGGTAGTTATAATTGTTGTACGGCGGGGATTCAGCAGATGCATTGTTGAGCATATGTTCACTCCGGAAAAACTTGATCTCCACGAAACACTTAAAGCAACTATTCCGAGGAGAGGCAATCGTTCGTATTGTCGGTGGCTTGGTGAACTCTTTCATAGGGTCGAGTTAGGATATGGCTTTACCGTGCAGGAGCTTTGATGGGTATATGAAGACATAGGCCAACGAAAATTCAACAATGGGCTCTTCAGAGTATTGTCTCTAACTATGTTGTTATAGCCACTATCTACTGTGCTTGTAACACTTCAAGAAGTTGCAATCTATGACTTGGTTAGGCCGAGTGGCAGAATCTTTGAATACCACAGTGACCAGTCTCTGAATTTTTCTCAGTGAGCAGTCCGGATTCCAGTTTCTACACCGAATTAGCAGGGTTATTGAACTCTTAATTGACTTTTCAGTTCACGCAGCTGCCTCATTTCCCCCAACTACCCATGCAACGCATCTCAACGCTACAGCTCACCTGCCATCTCGAAACCTAATTCATCTACGGACGAAAACTCACCCTGGTGTTAGTATCATAATACCTACGGCGGGGAAGCTGTGAGAGGAAGCCTTGAAATTTTAACAAAATTTTTGAAACCGCCAACACGCGTTGGCCGTTGTGATAGCCACTTATTTCAGCCAAACTCCCTGTTAACTATTTCACCTAGTTTATCTAATATGCTAAACCAGGATGCCCTTAACGCTGGTGAAACTAGCGAAGGCAGAATAGAACATTCACAGCCACCCAATGGGAGTGGCTTTATTGCATATTTCCGCTAATTGTGGCGTTAGTGACCGTCGCTATGTTGGTTTAGTAAGAAGTTATGTTTTTATATGCCTTTCAGATGAAAGGTTGAATTAGAAAACTTTTCTTGCGTCGGTGGCACAGCGGTTGGGAGGCCTGCCAACCATGCACATGGTCTGGGGTTCGATCCCCTCCTGGCGTACACCTGATATCAATGGGCGGCCTGCAAAATTTGGGCTACCGATATCCATGCTGAAAATTCCATACTTGTACCAAAAATACTGTGTGGAATGAAGCTGTAATCGAAAAAAATAAGATCAGCGCGTAATGTAGTCGAACCGCGTTACATTTGTGGTGGACCTGTTCACTCTATTAGCTTAGTTACCCAATTTCAAATAGAAAATAAAATTCCAAATCAGTTTGGTAACGGGAAGAATGTATTAAAGTTTGGTTACTTGGGTTTACAAAGATCCAAAGTCCACAATAAACGTAATAGACTCCAGGTGTTGCGGAAAGACTGCTCCAGTACTAATTCTCCAATGTTGACGTTGCCGGAGGTCGACCAAAGTACGTAGGAAGAACTACGGTGCTTCTGCAAAAATTTGAGATAGAAAGCAGGTGATTAAAATCGATCGACGGCAGTTGGGATGGTGGAGAAGACGGAGAGTCGAAAGCAGAACTATGTATTTATTCAAAACCCGAGGTAAAGTTCAAAGTACAGAGTTTATGGTTAAAACAAAGTAGTATACAATATGTTCATTTCTTACATAGTAGTAAAATTTGGATAAGTTTATTTTTGAGGACTCCACACATTTGCATCGTATCATGAAATGTGGCTTGACATTGATATCTGCTCAGTGTTATGTATTAAATAGTGTAGGAGGTTCAAAACTTCAACGTATGTTTTTGAATTTTCACGGAATCTTACTGGTTTATTTGGGGTATTTATTGAGAAGCTATTTATTGGTTTGGTATATGCCAACCGAATAAAAACGGGGAAAACGTGTTTAAAATGGGAAAAGATTGGGGGCACTCCATTGAGGGAAAAGGGAAATAAATGGAAGGATGCTCAGATTTTCCACCTTTTCCCAGACTCCGCACAGTGTCCCCTTTTATGTCTCATTTTCCCTTTTTCGGGTCATAATTCCCCCTAATTAGTCAAATTTCCACTTATTAATCGCATATATCCCCCTATTTCTGGCATCACTTCCCCCTTATTCTATTTACGTAAAACAAGTAACAGCTCGCAATTTACTAAAAGTTCGTTATGGAAAATAAATATATATCAGTTGTTAATTGGTTAAAGAAAAAACTAACAACAATTTGGCAAATTAATCCTTTAGGATTAGTGAACAGTTTGAACTACAGGTAATGCACACAAGTAGAATGATTATCTTTTAATATGAAGTCCGAATTCAGCATTACACCCATCATCATAAAGCAGATCCATTTAAATATCCTGAAAAAGAGACACAAGATTAGTAAGGAACTTTGTAATCAACGGTGACATTTATCCGGATATTTGATATAACGATAATGATATATTAAAGGTGGTTATTCAGCTTGAAAAATTTAATTAGTTATCAAATACAAATCAGATTATTTGTTTACAAACAAATACTCACACTTAGGGTCTACTTTTAAACGTTAACGGGCAGATGGCGAGGGAGTCACCGGAACTGACGCCTTCTACCTCCATGGTCATACACAGTGCTCCGGAGCTGAAAAACTAGCACTTCTAGTGAAAAAAATCCATGACGTACAGCTCCATTATGGATAAGAATTTATTTTGATAAATCACACAGTGTTGTACAGTTATATTAATTGATGACGTTTCGAGCACAAACCATTGCTCATAGCCATATCAAGTGATATGGTGGCATCAGCCAATCACCCATCAGGGGGGGCAGAGCACAACCAGCTACTGCTCAGTACGGGACTTGAGCTATGGCCTAATCCCCATAGATGGAGATTTCAATGTCGCATTACTGAACCTTGGCTCGGAGTATGCTCAGGGAAAATCGGTCGAAATCTACTGCAAACAGTTTGAAATGCAGGACTGACTAAGGATGTTGGGGACGACACTAGGTGAGGCTCTGGTGGAAAGTCATCGAAACTAGATTATATTCTTACTAGCGATCAAATACTCGTTGAGAAGGTCTAGATCATAACTCCACTAGGAAGTAGTGACCACGCAGCCATAGGGTTCGACCCTGTTCTCAGTGAGTACTTACAGTGAGTTTCGCGACCATATCTATGCTATGACAAGGAGGACTGTGCTGAAATGCGGAGGCTCTCGTCCGACTTAGAACGGCCCATAGAATGGGCTTAGTTATCTGTGGATGAATACTGGGAAGTGGTGAAAGAGATTAATCATACAGCAATATCGGATAACATCCCTTTAGTTACAGTGCAGCGCGAAAACAGGTCACCATGGCTGAAGAGAGGTATGCAACGTATTCTGCAAACAAGGCGGAAGGCTTGGCTTAAATGGCGAGTATCCAAGAGTCGGACCGACCACGAAGCAAACCTGGAACGTGACAGTCAGGAATGACAGAAGGTAATTTCATTGAAACCTTGCAGAAAAACTTCTGCTGATCTCCAGAGGTCTCCTATGTCGGAGAGAAAACCAAGCAACCAGGGGGCATGTACCTTAGAAGGTTCAAAATGGTCAATACCTAGCGGGACTCCTCAAATAAACACGGCAATGGTACCAAGGAAGCTACAGAGACTCACATCTGGAAAATCCCCAGGTTGTGACGACATCAAGCTATCCGCTCTGATACAGTGCTCCGAAGTTATCTGTACGTCCTTATGCGACTTACTCCGACACTCGATGGATTCAGGGAAGCTGCCATGGGAGTGTTAAAGAGCTCTCCTTTCTCCGATCTTCAGAGGTGAAGATAGGCAAAATGCCACTACTTATAGACCAGTAGCTCTACACCCAGTGGTGTCAAAAGTACTGGATATTATTGCTGAGGATTCCGTCAAGATGCACCTCGACAGGACCAACAGACTGGCCAAAACGGTTTCAGGAAAATCAGATCCTGCGTTACTAACCTACTATCAGCTTGGGACGATTGGACATCATGCTGGGATATGAATGTTCCAGTCCATGTGGTCTTCCTAGACTTTGAGGAGGCATTTGACACTGTTCACCATGGCCTTCTACACAAAATAATTCAGGCAGGTATAGGCGAGCTGTCATGGTTGAACGACTACCTGGCTGAGAGGAAATTCTACCCTTAGATCAATCTACTCCGATCATCATGGCACAGCTCGTCATCAGGAGTGTCGCAGGGTTCTATCTTAGGACCACTGATGTTTTGAATTTTATCAATAACCTGCCATGCCGTCTTATTTGCCCGACTCTTCTTTATACTGGCGACATATGGAGAGCAATAAAGTGTTCAGAGGACCCAGATAGGCTGCAGGCAAATCTAAAGCTTATGGAAGTCCGGGCGGGTTCAGTGGTACGACTTTCGACCTGAAAATGTGCAGAGCAGTGAAATTACGCGCCTGTAGGCTGCAGAATGCAAGTTGCACCCCGTGCAACGAAAGCTTGTCCTGCACAACGTCGGAGCACGACTTAGGTCTAGTTCCAATGGAAAAAGTGGACACAAGCGTGAATTACATGGAGGACGTAGCGAGCGCATGTACACTTTACACATTAACAGTTAGGTGCACTCACTCCTGAGGTTTTTCTAAGGTTGTACAAAACATACATCATACCACAACTTGAAGTGCATAGTATCCTTGAACCCTCACTGTTTAGAAGAGATGCCAAACTCTTGGAAAGACTCCAAAAACAGGCGAAAAAGGAGTAGCTGGTCTCTGAAATAAACCGTATGTTGAAATGCTGAAAAATTAGGCCTATTTACAGTAAGCTACGTTGGCTTATGGGGATTTGGTTACTGCCTACAAAATAACAAATGACCAGAATCACCCAAACAAAGGTGTTCTGTCATTGAGTAGGTGTAGGCTCCCACGTGGAAATCCCAGAAGGATAGCTCACCAGAGGGCAAGGACCCGGGTGCGCTCCCACTTCTTTTCACTGCGGGTTTGCCGTCCCTGGAATTCCTTACCGGCAGATGTAGCTATGTCACCGTCTTTGGACGCCTTTAAGCGAAGGCTGGACAACCATGCAGCGACACAAAAACTACATCCAAACGGTCTATCCACTTAAAATGCCTTATATTGTTAAGGGAAAGACAACTAAATTCGTCTTTTTACTTCTCTACATATTCTCCCGTCTTACTCTCCTGACAACAACTACTAAACTTTCACTTATTAATATTACTGATACTATATGCATATATATGTACACATATCAACTTCAGATTAAATTAGCTGTCTGTTTTTACTATTTCTTCAATTATTCATCCAAGCAATACTCCTTTTGGAATCAACCAGAGCTCCGGAAGTGGAGTGACGGGACGCATTACGCACAAATTCACCGTAGACCAGGAACCTTTACCTCACAATGAAAAAGCGAGCATTAAGAAATCAAAGTGGTTTATATTAGCTCGTAAAAACGATATCTGAAATTATATATTGGAAGGAGCAGAGATTGTACATTGTAAATTGTTTTACTCCATCTAATCACTCAAATTTACTCTTAACTTGTCCTACACACATAGTTTAAACCCCAGGGTCGTTCGCCTGGGTTTTCGTCTCCATATATATATACTCTTATCTGAACTTTCGCCAAAGGTAGAATTTGGATTTTTGATAGAATTTACTCAAGGTAAACTTAAAAGATTAATATAAGTTGCATACATAATCTTCTGCTTATGTTTTTGTCGGTCATACATGAGTGTTCAGTAATCACTTGTATTGACTTGATATATTATTACTTTTCATATAAAATGGTTATTTAACGCCTTTAACGTTACTGGACTGAAAGGTGATGTTTTGATACCTTACCTCTCTAAGGGAATGGTAATTAAAGTTGTAAGTGCGTATTCTGTCCTCTCTCCAGTTGTAATTGTTGTCTAAACTTTTGTTTGATCAGACGAAGTTTTCGGGCAAAATTTACGTACTATTTTTTTGGTTTTTACTATTTTAGTGGTTTCGGTTTCGAGTTACTCGGCTTGTGATTATGTGTTGTTATGGCTAAAAATACTGACTTCAAGATTGTCTTTTGAATGCTTATTCCAGATGATAAATTCCAATAACGTAACGTTAACTTCTTCTGTGGTTTAGATAGGTGAATTCTAGACCACGGACTAAATTTGTTCCCTGCGAAACTATGAAACAATTTAGTATTAACTTTGTATATATGTTTATTACTCCGTTGTCAGCTTTTTCGTAAATAGCTATTTGCACTTGATAGACTTAAATACGTTTCAGAGATTTTGGGACTTTAAATATCGAAATGAAAGTTTAGCCAAGAGTTTCTTTTGTCATGCTCATCTACAGAGCTTTTCAGTCAAATTTATATGTAATTTTGGCAAACTCGTGGTCGTTTATGATATCCGGAAAGACCAAAATATGATAAATTAATTAGACAGAAGAGATACTTATGTATGATGAATACTAGTCGAGTTATCACATATCACGTATAAAAGGTCAAACTGTACATGTTTCTTTTGGATGTGCAATCCCAGCTTTTTATTATTTTGCTCTTTGTAAAATTCACAGTCCATCTGCTTTTGTCAATTTTGTGAGTACATGGTTATAAACCCAGGACGACTGGTCGTTTAGCACTATGATTCTTTTAGATTACGCGGTTTAGGTGTAGGCCGTGTATACATTTTATAACGCCGAAAGATAAAACAGTTTAAACAGTTAAGAAACTACAACAGCGATTTACATACTAACCTTATAGTCTAAGTGATTAAAACGACAAGAAAGCAAAGACTGAAGGAAATTCATCCTTCAGTATTGTCACCATTAGACCTATATAAATATGTATCAACATTTGTTTCGTATTTGAATTCCTTCGGACAGTTCTCACATAAACTGCATCTAAATACATTAAAGCTTTTTGTTAGCAATTGGATTATGTCCTCTTACTGGCTTTTGGTTTTGATCAGCATTCCTACAAACTGATTCAAATAGCCGTAATTAGGTAGTGTCGTGGAAGGTGAATTTATGGGAGAAAAAGTGTGTGGGTTAGGCACTATACTTGCCTTTTTAATATTGTTTCCTTGTAATATAAGCTAAGCCGTAAGATATAGCATATGATCTCTGTTTGTTCGGATGGTAAATAAAGAATTGATGAATTTTCGCGACACCGCTTAAAAACAGATATTACGATTGTCTTGTATGAAAAAAGTCAACGGAAACAGAAAGAAAACATTAACTGTGCGGAAAAAGTAATTATACACGAACATTTAGGACGTCGAATTCCATTTAAATCCACCAGATAACGAAAATGTTAGATCCTGGTAACTAATTGGGGGAAAGACGTGAACAAGATGTGTTGCTAGCTCCAAACGTAAGAACGAAAATTCCTGATTATAATGCACAAGTAATGTGACGAAGATATGCTCTTTAGCATAGTTTTTTTTGGCCATTATTGCCAATTTTTTAGAAATTTAATCAGTTCGGACGTGAAACATGTCGTTATGTACAGTAAACATTCCAGGGATTTGCAACAGCTATGGTCTATATATTTATGATTTCTGCCTAACTGTAGATCAGGTCTGACTGTAGAGCCAACTAGGTACTTTGTAATGAAGTGAATTATACTTGACGTGACTGTTTGGATCTGGGGCTCATATTTCACATTTTGGACTGCAGATTAGGATCCCAATCTGCCGAAGTCGGAAAAATCACGTAATATTATTACATCCCACACAAATGAGGTAGCTTATTGTTATTATTTAAATGCACACGTAGTTCTTAAGTTCCATGTAGTTTTACCTCACCAAAACTGAATACGGTTTCAAATATCCCAATAACACCGCCTGTAGATATTCTAAACCGTAGTCATAATTAAAGTTAAGGTGCAGGATAAATGCTTTCTGTCCATGTCAAGGAAAAGCTATACTTTTGGATGTATACTAGTTATCTTTATTCACTAAAATTATAAGCCTTTTAAACCTGTTTGAAGCATCTGGCTTTTACGCTTATACTGTGTTCACATATCTCCACGTATTGCTCATTTTCTACACATTATTTAGAAACTCATACAATTGGTGTTTGATGTTTAACCTTTGTTTCTAATGGTATTTTCGCGTTTCTTATGTCTTCGTTTATTTTTGACCTCCAGTCTAGGGATTCTTTTCTTATGAATGCTTCGTTTCAGGCAGTTTCTTTGCTGCATGTACCACCTTAATGGATTACGGTGCATCACTATTAACTCTTAGCTGTTTCGTTAATAGTTATAGTCTTTTGTGATTCTACCGTAACAATTTATTTGAACGGCACAATTTATCCTAAGTCATCTAGATATTTTCTATTTCGTATTAACCTTAATTCTCGGCCTTATGTACAGAGTCTTTCTATACAGTCTAGTGGACCATAGACTTCATTCACTGTGGTATTAAAATTCAGTGGCACTCTTCTTCAAGTTTTTCTAATATTTCATCTGCGATATCCAACGAGTGTTTGTTCTAATATCATCTCCTTCTGTTTTCTACCACTGTTTTGTTAGTAGATCCAGTATTTCAGTGGCCGTTCGTCTAAAAAATCTTCGGGTTTTATCAAAAATAAGTGACGTAACTGACACAGACAGTCTCGTGACCTACATTTGTTGAAGGCTTGATTTAGGATAATATTCCTTTGCAACGAATGTACGATATCGTAATGCGACCTGCTACACCTTCCATATTACAAACTATTATTAAGGAAAAACAACCTAAGTAGTGAGATCAAATCCGTGCCAGAAACATGCTGGGTGGAAAAACCAGACGAAACGAGAAAGTCCCCGTCATCTTAACACTAAGCAATTCAAAATCCACTGGAATGTTGAAAAGTGTGAATAAAAAGGTACTAGGATTTAACATTTTGGATATTTTAGTTTAGTATGCTCAAAACCAACTTTGAGCATAGGTGGTACATAGACGAAGGCTTTTAGTTTAGTAGTCGAAGTTTCACTGTCTGTTTGTCTGTTTTCAACATAGAACTTTACACCGATGTGCAGCAGGTCAATTCGCCACACTCCATGTAGCACATAAAGCAAGAGGAGAAAGTAGAAGAAATGCAAAATATAGGCAGTAGACAGGGATATGAGACAAAAGGATTAGTGAGATCGAAGAACAATATAAAGTTTCATTGGAAATTATAAGTCACAAGGAGTGGCTGCGTCTGCGCCAACCATTGAGAACGATTTTGAGTCATATCACCGATTGTCTCCAGCCATTTGTTTTTACTATCCCGAGAACCCCAACCAGTCAGGAAGTCTACACCTTCTTACATGGCTGGCTTAAACTAACTATTATGAATTTCATTGACTGGTGTCATGTTTTGGTTTGACCGCCTCTAGCTCTTTTCCAGCCTGACCCTATGTCAGCTAACATTGCCCGTCGGTCGAGGAAGTCAATGACTAGGTATACGTAACACATGTCCTAGCCATCTCAGTCGATGTAGCTTCACAGCCTCATCGATTGATTTCCCCTCCATACCTAGCACTCGATCAATGCCTAACCTCAATATTGCTCACCCCGTTATAACACCACATGACACGAGAGATAGAACGCAGACACCTATGATCAAAGACATCTGGCCTTTTCATGTCTTCCACCTTCAATGGCCAGGTCTCACACCCATAAAGGAGGACGAAGCAGACTGCTAAGCAGTACACTCTTTGGTCGATAGCCGGATATCACGTCTACGCCAGAGACGGCGTAAACTGGTATATGTGAAACTAGACCTCTGTATCCGTGCTGAGATTTCGTCAGCGATCAACGCGTTGGGGTTGATCCAACTTCCCATCAAAGTTTCACAGCCTTTTTTTGCCGTAGTCATAAAAAGTTTCAGTTAATACGTCGGTAAGGTAATTATAAGGTTTTCTATTTAATTGTTTTAAAGAGCATGAATTATTCGGTTGACATTTTGATAACATCTCTAAAATCTGACACTGGTTTTTAGTTGTAGCTACCCTTTTCACTTCAATTCCGGTAATTCTAAACTATAGACAGTGCTCACTATTGATATTTTGTCCTTATTCAGCTGCATTTGATGAAATATTAGTCCGAACAAATTAGTCTTTGCCTGAAACACATATTTTTCTGATATCAAGAAAACGTTGCATTCTGATGTAATAAATACGATTATATGTTTAAGTGCTTCATAGGTTGAATAGTCATGTGTGTGATTTCTTGTTTATGAAAGTTCTTCAGTGATTTTCTTCAAGGACAAGTAGTTCAAAGCGACCATTTTTCCTCATTCTAAATAATACGAATACGTAGAGATAATTTTGTGCTGTAGAAACAATATTTTAGTTTTTGCGTTTGTTTTCGTAAATCTTCTTTAGTTTCTTCTGATTTTACCTACATAAGTATTATTTGCTTTAAATTTTCCATTTGTTTCACAAATTTCTGACTACATGCTTAAACTCCATAGTAAATATAATCCGTACATCACTGTAGAAGTGAACTTTTGCTATGGTGTATATGAAATCTCCATCACTTCAGTGTTGTTCAGTGAATCTTCATTGTTTTAATGGCGTTACTTTTGGTTTCGTCCTACTGCTTTTTTCTGTTCTGTTACAAACCATAGGGAATTGAAATAATGCTGTCCAATGTGAGATCACATATTGCTTTGCTTGTCATAATTTTGCCAACGCTCATTGGCAAA